GAAATTGTACCTCGATGATTGATTACGTACTTTAAATAAAGACTGTTTTTTATAATTTATTTAGAAATGTATAGTTTTCAGATTTTTCCCTGTACTTGTAGTATAAGACGATGTAACTTGCCTTTCAGAGTTATAGGTCAAAGGGAAGTACACTATAAATTTTGATTCCCTTGAGTGTCGAAATATACGTTTTTTGCGGCAAAAGCGCATATTTCGACTCTCTCATTCTCGATCTTTTTTACGTTGTTTACTTTGTTAGGCGTTTGATTATTTAACAGCTCCAAGAGACCGTAGACCTAAGTAGGTATATGGTTTTTATGGTAATTTCAACTTAATACCTCCACGCGTTTCCGAGATAAAGGGTCTTGACAGACAGACAAAAGAACAACAAAGTGATTCTATATATATTCCAAAGAGCCACTACGCAGGACATCAGCATTGCATAGAGAAGGAAAACTTGACACAAATCCTATACCGAACCGTCGGGCTAGCGTGGTATAGTAGGCCAAAACTTCCTTACTAAGGAGAGGCCCTTGTCTAGCAGGACTATTAAAGGCTGTTGATGACGATGATTATATAAACCACCCCATGAATTACACAACAAATCTATCTTTGTTGTGTAAAAGAAAGAATACCACTCAAATCCATGAACGCGAAAGTGTGTCAGTCTGTCTATCCGTTACCTCTTCACGCTTAGAGATGGACTGTGGGTTGTGGGAACACGAACTGTGGGCTTAAACCGTGCAACCGATTTAGATGCAATTTGGTCGAGATAGCCCGAGTCCCGGAGAAGGACATAGGGTAGTTTTTATCTCAGAAAACATACTTTAAGGGGGTGGAAGTTTGTATGGGGAATCAAAAACCGCTCAACCGATTTAGGTTAAATTTGGTATGGAGATACTTTGATTCTTGAGGAAAAACAATTGCAATTTTTACCGCGATAACCGACATTTACGCGGGCGAAGTCGCAAGCAAAAGCTAGTTGTTTACAAAACCTGGTTAATCCTGGAGATCCTGATTAGAATAATCGGACAAATTTATTAAATTATCGTATTATCATCGGTCCTTGATAAGTGGGCGAAGTTTAGATTTAATCTAATGTTTTAAAATGGGTGAAAATCTATATGTCACTAATTGAGCCTTATAATTCCGATTTACTTATAATCCTTTTTTGTCGGATTATATCGATCTAAAATATATAAAAAATGTATAGTATTCGTATAAGCGAATATATCGCTTTAAGTATTCGCTTTTGGGGGCCCCCGTAACTATCCCCTATCGTTACGGGGGCCCCCAAAAGCGAATATTATGGTAAAGACGGTACTGATGACAGGTCAATATGACGCTTCCAGTCGGCGTACGGGCCCCAGAGAAATTGATATTGGACTTGTGTTATTGTCTTGACCAAAAATGACTGGTATCTATAGTCGTGGTCGTGACAACGACTGATGACAGTAAATTAATTTTAAAGTTTTATGTGTAATCAAAAACAACAACCTTACATCAACTCCGGAACTATAAATTTACTCTTTTAAAATTCAGATAAGTATAAATATGTTTTAAAATTATGCTTTACGATACTTTGTAAATCGGTACCTTAAGAGAGACATTTATTATTATTAGTCCCTAGAAGATTTTCGAAATGAGGCATTTAATTGTTTATGTGGGCCGATCCCGGCGGCACTGCAATGCCGGGCCGACCCGTGACGGGAGTGGAGCGAGCCCCGAACATCCCGTCAGCTTACAAAAATCAGTTTAATATACTGGTCCCTCAGTGAGGGAACTTTCAGATATTAAGCTGAAAAGAACAGATACTACACTTTGATCTTAGCCAAAAGGCCGAGAAGCGATACATTAACTTTAAAGAATAGCGAACGTCATTCACCAGCGGAGAGTCTTAACACCGCAATTCGAAAAGTGACGTCATTTCACAGCGCCATCTATTGCCCATTGTGGACACCATTTTACTATAAAAACATCAACTGCTATTGTGTATGCCAACGAGCACTTAACCCTTGGGTTAAGTGCTCGTAGGTGTATGCTATTGAGGGGAGAAATCAAAGGTGAAGGTCAATATTTAATTAAGAAACGGTTGTAGGTAGAATATTCAAAACTTGAAATCGCCCGTTGATCGGCGTTCGACAATCCATGATTTGTAGAAAGTTTGTCTTCATTACATTGTATTATGTCATTATTAAAATCTAAATATTTATTATTAATTTTAGAATCTTTACATAGTATAAAATAAAGTCGCTTTTTTGTGTTGTACGCTTAGATCTTATAAACTAAGCAACGGATCTTAATGCTGTTTTTACTAATATAGAGAGTCATTCAGGCCCCCATAAACGCTTATAACTTTGAACCAGTGACCAACAAATTCTGATATAGCGCCAGCATACATATACGTATTTGGCTTTCATTTAATATCCTTTTCATCGTGTGGAAGTGGACAGTAAATTGTTTCTTACCCATCTAAAGAGATTTTATTTACGAGTTTCGAAAGAAGAAACATTATTATTTTATCGAAACGATTTTTAAAAAGCTGTGTCGGATTTTAATTAATTTTTGGATTACAACTTACAATTGGAACCAATAGCTGGAGCTGCAATAAAGTTCGAGGAATGTTTTTTACTTTCTGGTTAAGATTAGGAGTCTCTGTAACGGCTGCTATTATTATAATGTGTGTTAAATGTTATTCTCTCACTTAAATCCTACTAAATTATGTTATAATTTTTGCAATAAACGGAAATTTCTCTTTTATCTGGTACTTTATGAAATTTATTATTATTATCTAGAAATTTGTTTCGCTACTGATGTTAATTTTTATTAAGTTATAGTGCTAGAATCAAATTTAAGCCATTTTAATTAAAATTACGTTATTAAGATTTTATGTTAATTTGTTCAATTAAAATAATAGCGTAGGTTGTATACGTATGGTGATTTAATTCTCCGGAGATGTATGAAATTTGACAAAACTATCCACATATTAAAACTGTCTCCTGCGTATCTAACTCTCAGGATGTAAGTAAATCTATACAGATATTTTCACAGGTCGGACTTTATAGCTCACACTGGGAAGAAACGCCGAAACAAACCACAGGTGTCTGTGCGAGTACAGCGTAGGGTTAGGATACACCTTTTGAAGAAAGGACCATGGTTTTGAGTCGACGTACGGGCCCCAGAGATATTGATATTGGACTTGTGTTTTTATGCCTTGACTAGGGATGTTAAAAAATAATCGATTTTTATTGAAATCGATTATTATTTTCTTAAAATCGATTTTTTATTCTCGATTTTTATAGTAATGATAATCGATTTTTAGTAAATCGATTATATAAATTACGTGTTTAAATCGATTTTCAGAAACAGCTCGCATCGAAAAAATCTTGCAGTATGTTTCAATTTTAAAAACAGCGCCATCTATGCGTTGGATCATAAATCTCTGCTCCGTCCGAAAGATTATTTTCCAAAGCGGGAAATGTGGTCAGGAAAACACGAAACCGTATTTTAGGAAAGAGACTATCAAAATTATTGTTTTTAAACTGCTTACTTACCTGAAAATTTATGGTAATAATTATTTTAAATTTTATTATTGTTTAATCCTAGTCAAATGTAAAATAGGACTGCACATTTGTGGAAATAATTATTTTTAATTTTATTATTGTTTAAACTTGCAGATTAACGAAAGATTGTTTTATATTTTAGTTTTAGAAACCATAACGTAGTTGTTCAGGATTGATAATGATCCTTTTAAGTATTTTATTTTAATACTAGTCAAATGTAAAATAGGACTGCATGGACATTTGTGACAATAATTAGTATTTAAACTTAATGATTAACGAATGATTTGTAATTTAGTTTAGTTTTTGAGACTATAGAGTAACCAAACCAAAACCTCCTTTCTAAGGAGAGGCCTACGTCCAGCAGTGGACTATCAAAGACTGTTGATGAAGAGTAGTCGTTTAGTTTTTTAATTCTCATTTTAAGTGTTTTATTTTAAAACTAGTCAAATAAAAAATTCTCATCATTTCATTTTTAATATAATAAATAAAACGTTTCATAGTGCTAAAATGAGTATCAATAATGCTATTTAGTTTCCTAATTCCCTACTTTGAAATTTTTCGAATAGGTTATTTTTTTATTCATATAATTTTATTTTATTTTTAATCTGATAAATAGTTAATATGAATCTCTTAGGTATATTATTGGAATGTGGAAAGCATAGACTTTTAAATAATACAAAAAAATCGATTATTTATATTTATTAAAATCGATTTTTGGCAAATCGATTAATTTTTAATATAGAAAAATCGATTTTTATTTAATCGATTCTTTTCCATTAATCTCACATCCCTAGCCTTGACCAGAACTTAAAAGTTTTCATATTCGAGATCGTATTAACGACTGATGACAGTAATCTAATTTTAGAGTATTATGTGGGCCGATCCCGGCGGCACTGCAATGCCGGGCCGACCCGTGACGGGAGTGGAGCGAGCCCCGAACATCCCGTCAGCTTACAAAAATCAGTTTAATATACTGGTCCCTCAGTGAGGGAACTTTCAGATATTAAGCTGAAAAGAACAGATTAAAACGTTTATTGAATAAAAAAACTTCCTGTCACAGACAGGTACATGTGCTTGTGTGTCAGTGCTACAAGCAGACATAGATGTATATACACATTCACAATATTTCTCTGGTTCATGATACAGATCAAAAGCATGTTACTAATTAAAGTTTAAGAGTCTTAATAATTTCTGCGAAACACTAAGCAATTGAACACTTATAGCATTTGGCTAAGCTTATCAAATTTACACGTTCTGAATTATATCGCAAGTGACGCACTATGAAATTTTATTTCAATCTATTTAACGGCACTGCACAACTTTTAGCTACATTTTTATATTTTTTACTAGTTTATTAGTTTCTTGGTTGTCAGTAACAATAAATAAATAGCCAGTGGCATCACACACACACACACACTCGGCAATTCACCGGTCATTTCATTGGTCCACGCGATACTGCCGCACCCCGGACACATGCTCCACGTATATGTCGCGCGACCAGCGCACCACCTCGCTGATCATGAGGCGGCGCATCATGCCAGCATATCTTTTACTAATGCCCAGCAGTTTGATGACCGTCTCGTTGTGCGCGTCCCAACCCCCGAGAGCTCCCACCATAAATGTCTCGATACGGGTCGTGTAGCCCTGCTCCACCAGCTGCTCGGCCAACGGTGCGTATTTAGCCAGCTTTTCCCGGCGCGCTGCTCGGAAGGCCTCTGTCCTATTTTCAAATGGGACGCACACGTCCACGATGTTAATGCGCCTCGTGGTCTCGTCTCGCACGACAATATCGGGCCTCATTACTGCCGCCGCTCCATGTGCTCCGGTGACGGATCTGTTGATGGTGATGTTACCCACGCAGCGGGCAGCCCTCACCAGCCTGTTCTGGACGCCGTTGTGCCTCATCTGTCGTGCCGCCGCATGCGGCCCGCAGTGGTTGAGCACATGCGGAAGGGACTCCAGATCTTCACCGCATCTGCGACAGCTTTTGTCTAAGCCTGGTATTCCGCGGACTGCGGCGTTCAGCGGGAGGACATTAAGCCTGGCTCTATGAATAAACCGCCAGTCGCAGAAGCGGATATTTCTGCCAGTCCGGAGAAAGTGGTTCGATGCTACGCTCCTTTTGGTAACCTCAAACACCTTGCCCTGATCGCGTTTGGCAAGGAGTTTTCCCGCATAGTGAGCTGACACGCCACGTCGCAACACATTGGCGACCCGCCGACTATCCTCCGGGAGCAGAGCCTCTCCGTCCCCGCCACATTTCAGCCCCAATCTTTCTTTGTCAGGGTGCCATTGCCAGCGTAGTCCTATTTTCTTTTTGAGATTGGTGGAGGCCACTCTCACTCTGGCCCAGAAGGACGTTCCGGCACCCGACGGGGGCAAGCCCGTGTCCCCAGAGAGGTAACGCGCGATGTCGTCACCACCCGCGCTCCGCCCGAGCCTATCCGACGTTGTCCGCTTCAGCAATGCCTCCGTTAACGATCTCACTGCATGATCCCTGGCGTTGAGCAGCCGGTAGCTATGTGCCACAGTGAGGACGTCGTGAAGGTCGGCAAGCGGAAGCAGTCCACCACCTCCCCGTGAGGGCGGCAAGTAAACCAGCTCCGCACTTGCGCGCTGCGGTAGGTACAGCCATTCCTTAGCCAGCCTCCTGACTGCTTTATCCACCGCTGTGAGGTATTCCTTCTCCATAGTGGCTCCCTGCATTATGAAGTCGAGACGAGGCAGCAAAAATGTGCCGACCGCGTCAAGCTTCTGCCAGGGCGCAAGCAGTGAGTCACCGATCTTCTTGGCGTCCTCGAGTAGATCTCGCACTGTGCCGACTGGTGTCTGCCTAACCTGATAGCCCGTTGGTATGCCAAGATGCTCGTAGGCCTCTTCGTCGGCAAGCGCACGCATCGGTGTACCCTGTATATTGAACACGGTTGGGCGGGCGCCACCCCCTCGACCCCCCACGATGTGTATGGTGGCACACTTGCTGGGGTTGAACTCAATTCCCACCGCTCGCGCGCCCGACTCCGCAGCCTCCAATAGTCGCCTCATGCCCTCCGGCGAGTCCGCCAGCAGCGCTCCATCGTCGGCATAAAACAGGCTGTTGTAGCGCCTACCCTCGAGCACATAGCCCTCGTTCAGGCCCGCCAGTCCCCTCAATAATACCTCAATGGTTAGATTGAATATGTCCGGACTAAGGGGGCAGCCCTGTCTCACCCCCGACTCGATGTGTATGGGCGCTGTGCTGCCACTTGCCACTCTAACACTGGTTGTCATGTTAGAGTATAGTGAGGCGATGACGTGTCTCACTCTAGGTGGAAGTCCGTGGCCCTCCAGAGCCCGGCGGATGGAGGAATGAGGGATGGAGTCAAAGGCGCTGGTGAGATCCAGCCACGCCACCACCAGCTCTCCGCCTCGGCGCCTAACATCTCGGATCGCCTCTTGTAGCACGAAGTTGTGCTCGAAGCAGCCCTCGAAGCTTAGGAACCCCTTCTGTGAGCTGCTAAATCTGCCGTTGGCTGTGCCCCAACTCTTCAGCCTGGTCGACAGAATCGCAGCGAAGAGCTTCGGTACCGTGTTACCCAGGGAGATCGGCCTCCAGTTATTAATCTGGTCGACGTCGCCTTTCTTGTGAAGCAAGATGGTGTTTGCTGCGCCCCATGTCGACGGAGCAGCTTCTATTCGCCACACTGCGTTGAATAGTGCTGTCAGAACTCGGCTCTCAGGGTCCGCCCTCCGAAGATCGGAGTATTTTATCCCATCCGGCCCGGGCGAGGTGTCCGTCCGGCGCTTGAGGCAATCCGTGATTTCTCCCTCCGTAAACGGCGCACACAGTCGGTCGTCGCTCTCTGGCATCGGGTCCGCCCGCACGAGTACCGGGGGCCAACTATCCTCACCGTCCCTGGGCGCCGCCAGCCGATGGAAGTGGTTTTCCACCGTGCGCAGATCGATATTGCAGATGTTGTTGACACTTTGATCTTAGCCAAAAGGCCGAGAAGCGATACGTTAACTCTAAATAACAACGAACGTCATTCACTAGCGGAGAGTCTTAACACCGCAATTCAAAAAGTGACGTCATTTCACAGCGCCATCTATTGCCTATAGTGGACACCAACATCAACTGCTATTGTGTGTATGCCAACGAGCACTTAAGTAATTAATTAAGAAATAATTAATTAATTAATTAATCAATATTTAATTGAGAAGCGGTCGTAGGTAATACATTCAAAACTTGAAATCGACCGTTCTAGAATGTTTGTCTTCATTACATTGTATTATGTGAGTATTAAAATCTAAATATTTATTATTAATTTTAGAATATTTACATAGTATAAAATAAAGTCGCTTTTTTGTGTTGTGCGCTTAGATCTTTTAAACTAAGCAACGGATTTTAATGCTGTTTTTACTAATATAGAGTCATTCAGGCCCCCCTAAACGCTTATAACTTTTGAACCAGTGACCAACAAATTCTGATATAGCGCCAACATACATATACGTATTTGCCTTTCATTTAATATCCTTTTCATCGTGTGGAAGTGGACAGTAAGTTGTTTCTTACCCATCTAAAGAGATTTTATTTACGAGTTTCGTAAGAAGAAACATTGTTATTTTATCGAAACGAGTGTTAAAAAGCTGTGCCGGTTATGAATTAATTTTTGGATTACAATTTACAATTGGAACCAATAAGTGGAGCTGCAATAAAGTTCGAGGAATGTTTTTTAATTTCTGGTTAGGATTAGGAGTCTCTGTAACGGCTGTTATTATTATTATTATAATATGTGTTAAATTTTATTCTCTCACTTAAATTCTACTGATATAATACTATAATAATGCTCTGCGTTGGTGTCTTTATGCATAATAGTTTACTGATTAGTTAACTACTTTTTAGATAGACTAAAAAATAAATTTATCCTTTTTTTTATTTATTTTTTCAATAAAGGGGACTTTATCTTTTATTTGTTACTTTATGAAATTTATTATTATTCTATAGAAATTTGTTTCGCTATTGATGTAAATTTTTATTAAGTTATAGTGCTAGAAAATTACGTTATTAAGATTTTATTTTAATTTGTTCAATTAAAATAATAGCGTAGGTTGTATAGGTACGTATAGTGTTTTAATTCTCCGGAGATGTATGAAATTTGACAAAACTACCCGGATATTAAAACTGTCTCCTGCGTACAGGTCTCTCTCAGGATAAATGATTTTTATTTCTGTAAGTAAATCTAGTCAGATATTTTCACAGGTCAGACTTTACAGCTCACTCTGGGAAGAAACGCCGAAACAAACCACAGGCGTCTGTTCGAGTACAGCGTAGGGTTATGATAGACCTTTAGAAGAAAGGACCATGGTTTTGAGTCGGCGTACGGGTCCAGCGAAAGTGACATTGGACTTGTGATTTTATGCCTTGACCATAAATTAAAAGCTTTCATATTCGAGATCGTGATAACGACTGATGACAGTAATTTAATTTTAATGTTTTATGTGGGCCGATCCCGGCGGCACTGCAATGCCGGGCCGACCCGTGACGGGAGTGGAGCGAGCCCCGAACATCCCGTCAGCTTACAAAAATCAGTTTAATATACTGGTCCCTCAGTGAGGGAACTTTCAGATATTAAGCTGAAAAGAACAGATACTACACTTTGATCTTAGCCAAAAGGCCGAGAAGCGATACGTTAACTATAAATAACAACGAACTTCATTCACTAGCGGAGAGTCTTAACACCGCAATTCAAAAAGTGACGTCATTTCACAGCGCCATCTATTGCCTATAGTGGACACCAACATCAACTGCTATTGTGTGTATGCCAACGAGCACTTAACCCTTGGGTTAAGTGCTTGTAGGCGTATGCTCTTGAGGGGTAAAATCAAAGGTGCAATTGGAAGTGGAATATTCGGTGTGCTTAGATATTTAATTGAGATACGATCGTTGTTTGAAATTTCAAAACTTAAAATCGACCGGTGATCGGCGTTCGAAAATCCATGAATTCTAGAATGTCTTTCATTACATTGAATTATTATTAATTTTAGAATCTTTACATAGCATTAAATAAAGCCATTTTTTGTGTTGTACGCCTAGATCTTTTTAACTAAGCAACGGATTTTAATGCCGTTTTCACTAATAAAGTGATTCAGGACCCCTATAAACGCCTTCAATTTTTGGACCAGTGATCCACAAATACTGATATTTGGCGACAATTTTTTACAAATTAGCGACTAAATTTTTGTTGTTGTTGTTGCGTTTTCACGGTTCGTCATGTATCTAGGAGATTTATAATCATGTAGAGGTTGTAGGGCAACTCTTAACGAATAAATGTCATTTTTTAAATTGTCGTAGGATACTTTTTTACCGAACGTGCACGGTTTATCCGAAGCACCTATTTTTAAATTTTCGCAATTGCATTTTTTACTACGACCGTTTTTCAATTAAATATCAAAGCACACTACGAATATTCCACTTCCGATTGCACCTTAGATTTCTCCCCTCAATAGCATACACACAATAGCAGTTGATGTTTTTATAAGATGGTGTCCACTATGGGCAATAGATGGCGCTGTGAAATGACGTCACTTTTTGAATTGCGGTGTTAAGACTCTCTGCTAGTGAATCACCTTCGCTGTTATTTATAAATACTGTATCGCTTCTCGGCCTTTTGGCTAAGATCAAAGTGTAGTATCTGTTCTTTTCAGCTTAATATCTGAAAGTTCCCTCACTGAGGGACCAGTATATTAAACTGATTTTTGTAAGCTGACGGGATGTTCGGGGCTCGCTCCACTCCCGTCACGGGTCGGCCCGGCATTGCAGTGCCGCCGGGATCGGCCCACATAAAACCCTAAACAATAAAATAATAAAGCCTCATTCTGAAAATGTTCCAGAGGGCTAGTATAATATGACTGCCTAAGTACAATATTACGGAGTATCGCAATTACATGTATAAAAATTAAAAATGTAATTATATCGTGAAAGCTGGAGTTTATTATATGGCCCGAAACCAGTATAATTATTCTTCAGGCCCCACCCTACGGCCGAAAAGTAACAATTTTATTGAGGGGTGGTGGTCAGTCTGTCTGTTACCTCTCTTCGCGCATGCGAACGCGAACTGTGGGCTTAAACCACTGAACCGATTTAGATGCAATATGGTATAGAGATAGCCCGAGTCCCGGGAAAGGACAGGGTAGTTTTTATCCTAGAAATCATACTTTAAGGGGGTGGAAGTTTGTATGGGGAATCAAAAACTGCTGAACCGATTTAGGTGAAATTTGGTATGGAGATACTTTGATTGTCGAGGAAAGACAATTGCAATTTTTACCGCGTTAACCGACATTTACGCGGGCGGAGCCGCAAGCAAAAGCTAGTTGTTTATAAAACAGACTTCAATAAGTTCATCAATTCAATCTCGCATGAAACTCAATTTCCCAGGAGCCGTAAAAAAATGAGTTTAAAAAAGTAACAAGTAAGTGAGTCACGTGCGTAATCCGTGTGGTGACGGATTAAGAATACGAAGTGTCACCACCCCTATTCATCCCGTGGAGTCGTAAGAGACGACTAAGGGAGAAAACTACGCAGAACAACAGCACTGCAAAGAGAAGGAGAACTTGACACAAACCCTATACCAACCCGTCTGGCCAGCATGGTATAGTAGGCCAAAACCTTCTTTCTAAGGAGAGGCCTATGTCCAGCAGTGGACTGCTACAGGCTGTTGATGTGTTGTGTAATACGAAGTCACGTATGCTTCAGCACACGCCTTTGTAAGTGGCAAAAAACACTACCGTGTTTTGAGGCATGGAAAAAACCGGAAAAATCCTGGATATCCTGATCAGGCTAATAGGAAAAATTTATCAAATTATCGTACGGGCATCGGTCTTTGATAACTGTGCGAAGTGTCAATTTAATCTGAAGTTTTAAAGTGGGTGAAAATCGCGTTCAAAGATTCCGTTACATAGATACATACATACCAAGCTAATAAAAGCGTATTAAAATCAATTACGGACATACCTCAGTCCCCTCCCGCCTCTAAATGTCAAACTACACATAGTACAACTTTTCCACTCCATTCCACTCTTCTCTACAGTAGGAGATCGGTTAACTGGTTCTGTTTCCTTCTTTTTCTCTTCGGGTTTGTGTACTAAAATGTCCAGTTTCTTAGAGTTTTTGGTGGTGGCGAAAGAACGCTTGTCTGATTGGATCTTTGGTTTTAGATCTGAAAAACAAATATTTTTTTATAATTTTCTACCTTTTTATATTATATTCTACCACAATTACAAACGCCATCTAGTCCCAAACTAAGCAGTGCTTGTACTATGGGTACTAGACAACTGATATTATAAATATATACTTTATGCATGAAATGCGGCTTAAGACGTAAAATACCTGAATACGAGGCACGAGGAAACTTCCATTTAAATATTTTAAAATTAAGTTAAGAAAATGGCTAGTTGATACAATGAAAGAGTTCATGCAAAATAAAACTGATGTATATGATCATTTGTAGATTTAATAAATTAGATATAATAATTCAATAAATTTAATAATTACTAAATTTAATAATTTCTATGTAATTTTTTTTTTTTGATATTTTGTTAATTTTATTAGTTAATAGTTATCAATAGTTAATGTTTTGAGTCTCTATATAAATATTTGCATGCCTAGTACAGGCAGAATATAGCTTGAACATTATACACCTTTGTAAAATCTGGTACCACCTGTATTCTGTGCAATTAAATGTTTCTTTCTTTCTTTCGACTTCGTTACTTTAACATGGTCGGATTGGATAGGAGGAGATGGATCAGCGACATGTCCACTTTGTACAAAATATTGAATGGCTCATTTAATAGTACTCTCTTAAGTCTTCACTTCAAGGTACCTACTCGATCTGTGCGTACGCAACAACTATTTTGTATACCAACATGCAACAATAATGTGTCTCAAAATAGTCCACTGTTTCGAATGTGTAGACAATATAATGATATTTGTTCTGATGTTGATATATTTGTTGGTAGTCACGGCAGATTTATGGAATCTTTGCGGAAATTGGATGCACCTTGACATGTGCGTGTATTGACTGCACGATTATTTTTGTTTCTTATTTTTTTTTTGTATTATGCTTGTTTATTTTTGTAACCTCCACTTACTCGGAAGCTGTATAAATCCCGAAAGCTGTGTACGGTAGTAATTGGAGTGCAGATTAAAAAATGTTATGGATATTTATAAGAAAGTTTAAGCACTACCTGGTCTGTATTCTGTAACTGTACCTTTTATAAATAAATAAATACCATATTTTTTCAGTAAATACGTACAATATACATATTATACATAAAAACACCCAGATCAACTCACTCTCGCTCGGGAATCGAACCCGCGACCTTTTGTTCTGTTCCTGTTCATCGAGTGAGATTCTTTTGCCCTTAAAACAACCCCCCTCCTTAATTCAAGGCGCTCATTGAACGGCAATGCACTTTAATGCAAATATATTGTCAAAATCGGTTCAGCCGTTTAGAAGATTACCCAGAACAGACAGACAAAAAAAATTAAAATGGTTTATGGGCATTTATAGGTATCGTGCAAATAACCGTGTGATCATGAAAAAACCTATTATTTTGGTATTAATAAACAGACACTTCAATTTTATTTATTTGTATAGAAGATGAGCTTAACTAAACGATACTCATTTCGTTTAAAAGTTCAGTTCTTCAGGTCTCTTGTTCAGCCAGCACCTTGACTCCATAAAGATCATAAACACCTCACCTCTGGTCAGTATGACGATATTCGGCACTCCCATAATGTTGTCATCGTTGTCCACAGACTTCGAGTCCACCTCCACCATCCGGCTCAGAGGAACAGCCTCGTCACTGGACCCCTCGGTGTCGCTGTGGGCGCGGGCTGTCTGGCGTTTCTTTACACGTTTTCTAAACCTGAAAAATGAAAAATTTTGTTTTGAAATACCTGATTCCGAATCCGGTCAAATATTCTAAGTCAACACAACGCGCTAATCTCAGGAACAATTGGTAAAAATTCTTTTAGTTTTGAAACACGTCATATCGCCATTGCCGACCCATTTCTGCCTCAATTCTACTATTTTATGTTCACGCCCAGCCATTGACACGCTATTGAGATGCCATCGAGTGGCCATTGGCAGCGGTATAAATATCCTACACTAACTCAGTGTTTTTACAGTGGCGATGGAACGGCAGTGGCTGATCAGTGATAATACCAAAAAGATTGCCATATTTGGAAAAACAAATAAATCATTTCCTTATAATTTGAAAATATATTTCGTTTTTTTTTTGAGGAAATGATTTATTCACTCGATGACACGCGATGGCATCTCAATAGCGTGTCAGTGGTGTGACAGTGGCTTGGCGTGAACATAAAATAGCAGAATTGAGGTCCAGGACAGCACTTATAGAGACCATAGATCGTACACAGCGCCACAAATTACGAAATCACATTACTCTCTAGAGTAAAACTGATCTTTGCACCTTCAAATCACAACTCATAACAACACCAACATAACAACGTACAGCACATTAACAGCATTTAATAGTCCACTGCTAGACTTAGGGCTCTCGTCAGAAAGAATGTTTTGACCTACCATACCACGCTGGTCAGACAGGTTGGTATAGTTTGTTTCAAGTTTTCCTTCTTTTTGCAGTGCTGGTGTCCTGCGTTGTCGGCACTTACGACACCGACAAGATGAATAGGGGTGGTGACACTCTGTATTCTTACTCCGTCACCACACAAAAGACATAACAACTCACAATACATAAATAAAAACTCACCTTACAACATAAAAAATAACTGTGGTAAGTTAAAATAAAAACTCACCTTTTCCTGGGTCTCTTGTACACCACAGCCGGTTTCTTAGTCTTCAGCTCCTCGTTGTTATTGATGTTGATGTACCTGTCGCAGGTCGCGATCGGCTTCTCGGCCTCCGTGCTGCTGGATATGGAGTCAGACTTGTCGCAGGCGAAGAGATCAGTCTCGTTGCTGAGTTCGTTGCTATCTATTTGGTCACTGGAAAGAAAAAAAAAAACTAATCGAATCTAATTCCATCATACTGACTGACATGGCTGGGGTTTTGGCCTAGAGGATCATCAGTCTCATTACACATCAACAGCCTTTAATAGTCCACTGCTGGACATAGGCCTCTCATTAGAAAGGTAGTTTTGGCCTGCTATGCCACGCTGGCCAGACGGATTGCAGTGCTGTTGTCCTGCATAGTTCGATTCCTTACTCGGCTCTTGCGACAATCATGGAACAAAAGGGGTGGTGACACTCCTTATTTTTAATTCGTCACCACACGGACAGTTATACTTATGCTGTTGAAAAATAAATAAATATTATGTAATTATGTCCATTTCAAGCAATGTACTATTGAAAGACGTGACACTCCGTATTCATAATTCATCACCGCACGGACGGAAGTAGTGGTTGGTGATCCTGATTGCTAAGCTAGAGGTCGTGGGTTCGATTCCCACCCAGAACAAATATTTGTGTGATGAGCATAATGTGCATGCATGATTTATGTATGTATTTAGAAATATTTAAGTATGTTTATCGGTTGGGGATAGGATGGCAGCCTGATCTGGATAGGCTGATAGGCAGGGAGAAGTCACTGGCTTTCCCTGGGGTAGGGCCTAGTTAGGTGCGGCGTCGATCTGGGGGGACCTGAAATCACAATGCCTGGGTTCTTCCCAGAGCAGGGCGCCTAAGGCTGACCGTCAGGGTGGTTTTGAGAGGAAACACCACATCCTCACTGGTTCTTATATCCCCAAGAAGCCGGATATCCGAAGGAGTTTTCCACCCCGTCAACAAAAAAAAAAGTAGTTATCGGCAGTTTGGTTTACCATAATACAAACTCGGCCTAGTTTGGGACCATAATAGAATGTAAATTTCTGAGATTTGCGAAGTTATTATTATTATTATACTATTTAGTTTAAAGTTTAATTTTATTTCAAAAGAGGACGGATAATCTGAGGTGATTAGTTTAGCAATTGTTGCAGAAGCCATTGAAGTTTGCATTTGGGTTCATTTTGTGTTGGAATCAGAATCTTAGTGAGCATGGTCGCCTCGGAGAAGTTTGAGGGGACCAACAGCTCAAGTTGTCTGCACCAGGTGGCCATTACTCCCTTCCCCTATCCCGACACAGTCCTCCTCATCGGTAGGCGACGGCGAAAAGATCGCTCATAACTCACCGTGACCCTCTTTGGAGGAGCCACGTGACCGGCACAAAACTCCAATGATCGACTTACTGCGGTGAGCCTCGAGGAGTTCTACTATAAGGAGTCCAGCACACCCAATAGTTCGCACACCGCTCCTCGCAGGGGCGAGAAGAAAAAAGGACCAAGTGATAGTTTAATTCACATCAACTTTATTCAGCGGTGCGTTTGGTGAAGATTTCGGTGCGGGCCAATCGCAACGCCAAACGCCGAAGTCGCGCCGAAACGCCAAGACCGAGTAGCTGTGAAATATACTCAAACACGGCCTTAGGATGCTTGACGCCAACGATACTACGATGTTTCAAGAGTAGAAAAAAAAAACGAAAACTTGACATTAAAAATATAAAAAAGCAATCAAAAGCATTAGAATAACAGTTTTATGACAACTTTAATGTTTTGAAAAGTAATAATAGTACTGTAAGACAATTTAAAAATTTCGTTATTTTCACACTCGTGATTATGCATGTAGAACGTACGAGTCTAATATGCTCCGCTTTAGCGTGTTTTACTATAGTCTATTTTATTATTCGGACATCTTATTTAATGCCTGAACGTAACACAATAGTAAAACATAGTGCATAGAATATAGTATAAATAACTACAATCAATTAAAGACCTGAAGCGTTTAATTTGTTCCTGACATGCGACAATTTTCGCGCTTAAAACTTAACATGCCCGCCAAAATGTAAACGACAAACACCTGTGCCTACACTTCAGAGAAAAAAGGTTTGTTTTTAAAGTGACCTTTGTGTTCACTATTATTGCCAGCATACCTCTATACCATCGACAATGTTTTTAACGTAGTATTATAAAAAAAACAAGGCTGTGAAAAATGAAAACGCGGTATTGTATTATCAAGTAGTTCCTTATCTATCAACCTTGAAGTCTACTATACATGTTCAGAAATAAATTGTAAGGCTGTGTCACATCACAATTCGATACAGTTTTATGATAACGGGTGGACTTAGAGTATTTCCTTAACTCTGCATATTAAAAGCAAAGTTTTAGTAGTTTATTTGTACAGAAGTATTTAAATGCGGTTAATTACGGAAGAAATCTCCTTGAGTGGCACCGAGTGTCTTTCAAATAACCTATACGCCAAGTAAATTTTTTGAATGTTGATTTTATTAAAGGATCATTTAAATGAATTAAAAATTTTATTGATTTCATAACTGCTGTTTTTAATTCAATTAATTTTAGAGGTAAAAATGTAAAATTTGTGATGTCACACAAGAGGGGTCTCACAAATGTGACCGAATGTGACAAAGACAGATATAAATAAATAGTAAATGGTCCCACATATACTTTACATACAACTGTAAAGGTTTGTTCATCAGCATAATGGAGTATTAATAGCAGTGCGTTGTGGTTTTTTTAATTAGCTTTTTGGTACTAATTGTTTGTAGAAATTAGTAGTAGGACTGTTGAGGGTGGTTATGTAGGTTGGAATCATCATCATCAATAGCCGTTACTAGTCCACTGCTGGACATAGGCCTCTCCTTAGAAAGGCGGTTTTGGCCTACTATATCATGATAAATGATTATGATGATAATTCAATAGATCGTATAACAAAAATTCGGACTTAATGATAATTCAAAATATCAAAAATTCAAATTTCTTTCAATTAAAAAATATTTTCTTTCGCTGGTCACAGTTCTAACCTAACCCAAATAATTCACCAACAATCGAGGGTATCTGGCATTAATCGCAACTGTTGACTGTGACACAGGGATCTATAAGTAGAAGAAGAAAACAACAAAAAATATGAATACATAAATATTAATAACAAAAAAGGCATTTTTAAATTACATTATACTTTTAGATTTTGAAGATATATGTGTAACTGAATATTGCACTAACTGAATCAGAATCCTAATTTTAGCAGTTTATTCAAAGTATTCAAAATTGGAATGTATTTATTCAGAGTGAAAACCCATCGTGCATTTAATTCTTCGAAAACATAAAAATAACATTTACGACTTTCGGTAAAACATATTTGTTAATTTTAGTAATAGACATTATAATTAATTTAGAAAATTCGAAAATTCGGAGTATTCGGGTTTTCCTTAACAACAGATATCAAATTGGTCCCGATGTTATGTTACGATATGAAAAAACTTAAACTATACAACATTATTATTTATCTTAGGCTAAACAATTGTTATTTTCATTTACCTGCCACATACTTGTCTGGCATCTAAGCTGGAGGTTGTGGGTTTGATTTATTGTATTTAGAAATATTTAAGCATGATTAACAGTAGCCTGCTTACCATAGCACAGGCACTGCCTAGTTTGGAATCAGACAGCCGTCTGTGAGATGTGCAAGGTCATTATTTTTGAAGTTATAACAGTAAGACAAAATGACAGATTTTTACAATAAAACCAATTTTAATTTAAATATTTACTTACCTATGGTCAGAAACATCACTCTGACCAGCAGATTCCAATTTTTTTATTTGAAATGTAATATTTATCCTTTTGTATATTTCTTCTGTAATATTTCGACATTTTTCGTACTTCGGATCAAGGCCTTGACCACCCATAGCCCAAACATCTTTATTTTTCTCCAGTGCAGACATTTTGTGGGACTAATAAGATTCTTATTGGATAACTAATGGCGCTTTCTTGTTTCTTAGCCTTATTAGACGGTTTTCACGACGATAATTGAGCAACACAGCCATATTTGTGACGGTAAATAGTTAAAATGTAGTTACGAAATGATTGAAATCTCTCGCATGTGAAATCTAGCTAGAACAAGCTTGTATGACCACCTTTCTAGTCACAGTAGAACAAAGGAAGATTCACAAAAGGCATGGCCCACCTTAAATGCTGCTTTCAAATGTTTTCTGTGCTAAACTCACGATAAAACTCTAAGAAACACTAAGGTTTGAAACAAAGGACCCTATTTCAACCTTTTTATGACGCTATAAACCAGTCACAAACACTGATATTTGCAATTAAATTACTCTGGACACAAAATAAGCTCTAAGACTAGATAAAATTATGGTTGTTACTATCAAAGTAGTACTATAACAATAATTAAACAAATAACAATAAAAATAAAACTAAGTTGCCTTCCGGCAATTTTTTTAGGTATCTTGACGTTTTTAATGTGGTGTTGCTGCTTCTTTGATTAATTGCACATAATTTTAATATAATTTTTACCATAGACAAGTTTATTTTATTTGGAACAATGAGATCACAAGGCCATTCGGTAGAAAAGCAAAATTTTGTTGGGGGTAACATTATAGTGTTTCTCAGTAGTTTTGTTCTTCCTAGCAAATTCTTTAACATTTTGAGTATTCACTTTAGGGCCATGTTTTTTAAATGTCTGGTTTTGTGGGAATTGTTGCAAGATAGCTTGCTCAAAAAAGGTTCGATTCTCAATAAGAGGTGGACTCTTTTAAGTGGATTGGGATTCCCTAAATAACTAACAGTGATCGGTAGAAGTATACTAAGTAGTACTGAAAACCATTAAATGACTTAAATGGATTTGCCTATAAGCTCGATGTTTTTACGTGTTAAATCGTATTTTCATTTTACTGGTTAAATCTACTAAAGAAGTAGAAATCAGAAGGCTGCCATGCAATTTTAAAAATTTTGAATAATGAAATATTGTCATTTAATCACTTTTTAAACTTTTTATACGTTTCTTTCTAATGTTGGAATGTGACGAATAATAAATTAGTTAATCTTAAAATAATGTTCAAATTCAACTTTTGGTTTATAAACGGACACAAAAAAACTTCAAAGATGACAAGCGGTTACTCTCCCGCCAAAAAATCTGTTAAAGTTTAAAACGCCATGTTTATGTTGCTACCTACTGCCTAGTGCCTGTAGTGTGTACTAAATATTGCATATTGAATGCAATAAAAATTGTTATAAATTTTAGTACTTATTTCTAAGTTTTTAAAGACAGTAGACATGTGTTTTTGTGTGTATATTGTTAAGTTAGTGACGTGATATATTAGAAAAATTTAAATTCTTCGTTAAAATGGCTCCACGAAAAAGCGGGATTAAAAACATCGTTGCTAAATTAGTGACCGGCAAAACAGCGCCTTGCGCCTTTTGTAATCGGAAAGTGGACGATGAACTTCAATATGGTAAACTGTATGCCATAGGAAACGTACAATGCCATTATTATTGCGTGGTAAGTAAATAACACGTAATCCTGTGTTTAGAAAAATGTATATTTGCATTCGGGACCTTTACAGTATTCTTAATCTCAAAATAAAATGTGCCAGATAGGGACGCTGAGAAGAAATGTAACAAGAATAAGAATTACTTTTTACAAGTTTAAAGGCATTATAACATAAATTAAAAATACAACACCGATCAGACTGGTCCTCTCTGCTCCTAAGAGATGTATCTGTACCTCATTGTGGCTATTTTTGTAATATCCTTTCTTGCCTCATCATCAACAGCCATTAATAATCCACTGTTGGAGTTAGGCCTCTCCTTAGAAGGGAGGTTTTGGCCAACCATATTAGGCTGGCCAGAAGGGTTGGTATAGGGATTAATTCAAGTTTTCATTCTCTTTACAGTGCTGTCCTGTGTAGTTTGCTCCCTTAGTCAGCTTTTATGACACCCATGGGACGAATATGGGGTGGTTACACCATATTCTTAATCGGTCACCCACAGATAATTTTCCTTTCTTGCCCATTGTTATCTAACTACTAACTTTTATACTTACTTAGTAACCAAAAGAGCTGACTTCCAAAGATACAACACCAACAATCTTTAGGACTTTAAAGTACCATAAAATTCATCACTGTTGGTCCCGGTTAAATTTGAAGGCTACCTGCACAAACACACATTACAATACTATTTATACAGGCTAAGCTTATATTGTATACTGGACTGCGGATAAACATACTAATACATACATGTTATAGATAAATTATCATTAATTCTACTCAGTCCGTTATGCTCATTACACAATTATTTGTTCTGGTTAGAATTCAGCATCAATCGCTGACCAGCAGTTACGATTGGTGACGGCTAGACCAATAGTCTCTTAACAGAAACAAGTCTAATTTATCATTCTTAATAGTCTTTCTTATATGATAAAAATGTAAAATTGAAAGTTTTTTTACACAACACACATATACACAATACTCACTAGATAGATTCGATTGTTTCCTACGTAGGCTGTGTTGTTGCCAATAAGCTGTCTTCAGACTATGCATAAAGACCATATGTTGCCAATTTAAGAGTATTTTAAGATATTGTAATATCATGTATATAATAATTATGTTAAAGAATATTCGATTTTATTAATAATTATGTTAAAGAATATTCGAAGCTGTTTAGGAAACTTTGTAAACTGGCTAAGTCTCGTTTTATTAGTTCAAAGATTAAAAGTAGTAATGATAAGATTAAAACCACTTGGAAAATTATTAATAGTGAAACTGGCAAAGATCCAAACCGTAATAATGAATTTAATTTAAACATAAACAATAAATTTATCACATCAAATGCTGAGGTTGCTGCTGCATTTGAGAATTTTTTTACTAACATTCCTGTATCAACTACTAAATCTTTGAACTCCTCACCATACCTTGCAGAATCAATTTTAAAAGAGAATGTTAGAAGAATTGATAGTGAATTTAAGTTCCAATATGTGTCCCCCTTTGAAATTATTAAAGCCTTTAACACTATTAATGTTAAAAAAACAACCGACCTATGGGGAAATTCTGTTTTAATTACTAAGACAATTATATCTCTTGTGGCTAATCAATTGTCATTTACATTTAATCAATGTGTTGATAGTGGTGTATTTCCTGATCTTATGAAGTCTAGTAAAATTATTCCCTTATTCAAATCTGGTAGTACATCTGACCCAACTAACTTTAGACCTATCTCAGTACTACCAGTATTTAGTAAAATTTTTGAAAAAATTATGTATGATCAATTGCACAGTTTTTTTAATAATAATAATTTATTGCACAATAGACAATTTGGTTTTACAAGGGGTCGCTCCACAACTGATGCTAGTGTTGAGCTAGTAAAACATATATTTGATGCCTGGGAGGATGCCCACGATTCTCTAGGTATCTTTTGCGATTTATCTAAGGCTTTTGATTGTGTTGTTCATGAAACGCTGATCAGGAAATTACAGCACTATGGTATCAAAAATAAAGCCCTGGAACTACTTGCCTCATATCTATGTAATAGGATTCAAAAAGTTGATATTAATGGTGAGCGGTCTCCAGGCTCTGTGATAGAAATGGGCGTTCCACAGGGTTCTATTCTCGGTCCTTTTTTGTTTTTAGTGTATATTAACGACTTACCTCACTTTGTCAAGGACAATCTCGAGATTGTGTTGTTTGCAGATGATACATCACTATTATTTAGACTAAAACGGACACTTTCTGATTTCACATTTGTAAACAGCGCCATTTCGAAAGTGGTTCATTGGTTTGATGTCAACAATTTACTATTAAATGAACAAAAAACTAAGTGTATACGTTTCACTATGCCAAACGTCAAGCCAGTGAAAACTACTGTGATAATTAAGGATGTCGGGCTGGACCTTGTGGACACTACGACATTTTTAGGTATAACACTAGATGCTAAGCTACAGTGGGGCCCACATATTGATAAATTGTCGAGTAGACTCAGCTCAGCAGCATACGCAGTAAGGAAAATCCGAGAGTTGACTGATGTTGATACAGCACAACTTGTTTACTTCAGTTACTTTCATAGCATAATGTCGTACGGTATTCTGCTGTGGGGGAATGCTGCCGACATTCAAACTATTTTTGTGCTGCAAAAGAGAGCTATTCGAGCACTTTATAATTTAGGCAATCGTTGTTCATTGAGGCAGAAATTTAAAGAAATAAATATAATGACAGTGGCAAGTCAATATATTTATGAAAATGTAATATATGTTCACAAAAATAAAGATAGCTTTTTGAAAAAAAGTGATGTACATGCCATAAATGCCAGATATAAAAATAAATTTGTTGTACCCGCCTCTAGGCTCCAAAAGATAAACAAGTCTTTTCGAGGTCAATGTGTCCGATTTTATAATAAAATCCCAAATAATATTCAGGAGTTGAGTATTAACAAATTTAAATCCGCAATAAAACGTGGCTTGTGCCAGAGGGCCTACTACTCGATTGTGGATTACATGGAGGACAAGAATGCTTGGGATTAATTAGCGCAGGCTATTTCTTTCTTAAGTAAAAATGTGGTGTGGCTAGTATGTTTTTTATTATTTTTTCTATTTTTTATGTTTCACTTCATTTTCTCTTGTATTCGTTTGTTCTTCTTAATCTTGTTTTCTCTTCGTTGTTTTTTCACCTTTAAGTCCTTAATAACGGACATACTAGCACACATCAAAACAATGTTGTGATATATTTAATAGTGCCATTGTATCTACTTGTGAATTGCAAAAGAGTGGCCATGAGTTTGTTTGCCCTTTCTTCTCATAAGGCTCAACCCCTTGGAAACGGGCGGTTGTAGATCGGCACAGGCATATCATAGATTTTGTATGGGTTTGATTTTGTTAAATTTATTTGGTTACTATTTGACAAAACAGAGATTGTTGCTTTTGTGTGTGTTGATCTATGACTTTAGAGTCTACATGGAAGACGATTTCAAACAATTTTGAAAATTTTATGAAATAAAGAAAGTTTGAGTTTGAGTTTGATGTATCTGGACTGCTAATAAATATTAATATTAATATAGGCCCTATGCACTAAACCAATACTTTCCTAATAAAACTTTTAACACACACAATTTGATATTAGTTGAGCAGTCGGAAATCAACTTTAAGTCTCTGTATAAGTGCTCTACTGGTTGAGCAGTAGGGCTAGATAATTTTTTTTTAGTTTGGTACTGCCATTTATATTTTAAATAAAAATATGTCCACGTCTGCTATGTTTGCCTGTCCGGTACACAATAACACACTCGCAAGTGTATAAATCGCAACCAAGCGTTTGTCAAGGCTTGTAGCTTGTGGACGTTTGACAAGCCTTGGCACGTATGTAAACTAGGCATTACCGTAGCCACAAATGGTGTGTAACATCTGAAATCTTACCTACCATCTGTTAGCTAATGTTCGCAACTCGCGTGTCCTCTGATTAAAAGAAATAGCATGTGCTTCCTTGGCGTCTGGTTAACACTTCTGGCCCCTTTTAACTGACTTCAAAAAGGAAGAGCTTATCAATTTGGATGTTTATACATTTTTTTTTCATGTAAGTTCAGGCATAACTCAGTCATATATAGACTGATTTTCAAAATTATTTTTTTGTGCAATAGGGGTTTCTTCCAAAAAATGGTTCCACTTAAATTTCATACAGATTTGATTATGAGTTTCAGAGACAGACAACATAACTCTTCAGAAAATGACAGAAAATCAACAAACTGCTGCTACGTTTTTAGTGCTCTTTGTTTGTGTTTGAAGTAGGTTCAACTTTTTTTGAAAAGGATTTTTATAAACGAAATATTTCCTACCGACTGCGGGCAACGGAGAAGTCAAATGTTTCAATTTTTTTTTCTTTTGCAGCTGTTGTCATCATGTTTAATACAGAAGGGGAAGGATGAACATGGATTATTTGGATTCCTCTACGAAGATATCCTTGCTGAAGTGGAAAGATGTAAAAAACACGTAAGATTTTACTTTTAAATACATTTTTAACATGTTTATCTCAGTAATAGCATATAGTCTTCACACGTGTGTTACTAGCGCTTGAGTCCCTCCGCCCAGAAATAGAGGGAGGGGTTTTGAGCTCCCTCAATCCCAGTCACTTGGCGAAAAGCATCAAAAGAACGAGCGAAATCAGTGAACAGTTTTGAATGTCAACTTAATATCAACAGCCTTTAGTAGTCCACTGCTGGACATAGACCTCTTCTTGAAAAAATTAGGTTTTGGCCTACTATACCATGCTGGCCAGACGGGTATGTATAGGGTTTATTTCAAGTTTCCCTTCTCTTTGCAGTGCTGTTGTCCTGCGTAGTTTGCTCCCTTAGTCAGCTCTTACATTACCAATGGAATGAATAGGGGTGGTGACACTCCATATTCTTAATCCGTCACCACACGGACGTAACATTTGTTTGTTAATATGTTTTAGAAATGTTCATACTGCAGTCAAATCGGTGCCAACTTGGGTTGCTCAATTTCACAATGTAGAAAACAATTTCATCTACCGTGTGGTAGAGAGAGGAACTCTGTATCTCTGTTCTATGGCAATTATAAGTAAGTAAATATACTATTAATCTTATAAATAAAATTCTCGTGTCACGGTGTTAGAAGTTGAACTCCTCCGAAACGGCTCGACCGATTTTCGTGAAATTTTGTGTGCATATCGGGTAGATCTGAGAATCGGCCAACATCTATTTTTCAACAGTACAACAAATTAGTTACTTTTTTGACAAAAAATAATTAAATAATGTATATGGCAAAACAACGTTTGCCGGGACAGCTAGTATTGATATATTATAATAAAAATTTCGCAGAACTCACAAACACGGACGTCCGATCCCACACTAGGCAGAGCCTGTAGTATGGTAATCTATGGATTGGGTGATTCTTGTGTTGCGTCTGGAAGACAGCGCCATCTAGTGTCAAGTGGGGCACAACTAACGCTACGCATTGAGATAATGTTTCTTAATTCCGATACTTGCAGCGCCATCTAGTGTGCCATGACACTGAATCGATTTCTTCTCAATTCTTTCATCAATGGAAAGCTACATCATTAACGAGTGACATAGGATACTTTTTACCCCAATAACCGAAATACACGCGGGCGGAGCCGCGAGCAAAAGTTAGTTATAGATAAATTATACCCAGATACAGAACAAATTATCATCCCACGACCGCTGGCTTACTAGTCACTAACCGGGACAGCCATGCTTTTCATTGACTGCACAGGTTTCCTTAAACGATGTGTTTGTCTTACAGAACCTTCTGCCAAAATCATGCGCCCAAACAGAAGATCCCTGAAGTTATAATGGTGAAGGCGAGATTACGGAAATCCAGAGACAACAAAATTAAAAAAACAATGTGCTCTTTCAAAGATTTAAAAGAACTGTCCTTAGATGGAAATACTAATGGTAAGTTGCATTTTACATACATACCTACGTTCGACTCCTGTGCCGAGGTCTCGGGTTCGATTCTCGAGTCGGACCAGATGTTTCTACGGTCTGCAAATATTTGTTTTGGAGTTTGGGTGTTTTCTATGTACAGTATTCCATCAATAAATATAAAATTTGAAACTTGATTGCGTTGTGTGATGTCAGATGACCAAAAAGGTTTTCAGATGTGCTGTTGGGGTAGGTAGAGGGTACCAGGTATTTCTTTTCTAGGTTACGCCTGATTCCCTGGCTTTTAGTATACGACATGACGAGCGGTTTTAGTCGGTTCTAATCTGACATAACCACCCCATCGGCCGTCCGGTGACATAGTGGTCACCTCGCCGCTTCCTACTGCGTTGAGTGTTGTGGGTTCGAGTCCCACATGGTACAACAAATGATACACAAATTCTGAGTCTATCTGGATGTTCTTTGTCTCAGATTCATTAATGTTTGTAAAGTCCCCTGCAACACAGGATATATTCTTAGTGCGGGAGTTGTCTTTTAAAACGGAAGGACAAAATTTTGTAAAAATATTTTTTTTTCCTCTATTCTAGATTCTGACAGTAACACGGAGTCAGTATGTGTGATATGCTATGAACACGTGGAAGGGTATCCCACACCGAACACATTCTGGCCCCCTTGCTGTGCGAGGGATGCCTGGTTTCACAGAACTTGTTTACAGGTAATTAAATAAGATACAAAACAAAAAAGTACTAAAAGTCGGGTGCTGAAGGTCTTTTTTAGTCTTAATGAGAAGGCTAGTTGACTCAATTTGAAAACTTGGTTACTCAGAGGCGACAAGGACTTAAGACGGCTCCTTGTCAGTACCGTTTTCCCCTACAGCTACGGACCCCCCAAAAACTTGGTTAATTATATACTTTAATATCTATTTGTTCCCAAAAAACCTATATTCCAAAGAAAAAGCTATATTTACATTATGTATTTTGTATTTAAAAAAAAACATAAATAGCCCTTGAAAACGGTGAATAGTATCATGGCGTCTTGAATGACGTCACAGTCTGCAAAACAAAACTGTTTACATCTGTGTCCAGTGTGTACTGTTTTCAAAAAATAAATACGGAAAACCTGCTCTGTTGTATGAAAACGTCAACAACAACAATGATGTTCTGCGTGGCGTGACGTAACACTTTCTGATTGGTGTTCGCTGTCACGTAACTTAATGCCTATTTTGTACGAATTTATTTTCTAAAAATATTAAAAATCTTTAACTTTTATGCGAAATAGACTCTTTTTTTCTTATCTATGTCTTTTCATTTATTACTTGAATCTATAAACCAAGCAATTTGTTATTAGTTGACAAAAGCCTATTACTATAAAAGGAAAAATAAATTATAGTTTAAAAAAACGTGGGGTGGTTCTCAAGATATTTTTACCAATCTGTGAATAAAATATTTTTACAATTGAGATCTAAGCATTTTTACAATAAAATGGTTTGTCATTTAGAACTTATAGAAAATTATTTTAATTAATTAGTTCGGCTAGTTACAAAGGTGTGTTTTTTAGTTTTTTTTTTAAACTATAATTTATTATTTTACATAGACTGCGATAGTCATAATAACTAATTACAAGAATAATAGTAGTGTGCTTGACCTAAGTTAAAAGTTAGTACAACATATGCGCACACGCACGTACGCACACACGCGCACATACACACACACATACCCACACACAAACACCTCAATCCAATTATATTAATTTTAACATATTTTTTTTCTATGTAGCGCATGGCGCTAAGTGCCGGTATGCACTATATAAAGTGCCCGCTATGTAATGACAAAGAGAATTTCTATCAAGCTGTCATCAGTCAAGGATACTATGTACCGGACAGGTAAGTGGTGTCACCATTGTTTTTTTAATTTAATTCTTTATGCACAAATTACAACTTACTTGTACAATGGTGGACTTAATGCCATAGATATTTTCTTCCAGTAAACCATTGGGTGGTGGGGAAATGTCTGAGTAGGTGCACTAGAAATTTGGTTTTTTTTTATGGTACAGGGGTGCAAACGAGCAGGCGGGTCACCTGATGGTAAGCAACTACCGTCGCCTATGGACACCTGCAACTCAAAAGTCACCCTCCGCCCTCGAATCAGCGGGAAGGGGGATTGGGTCTCCGGTAACCTCACTCACTCAATGAAAGGCAACGAATGAATTGCTTAACACCGGTTTTCTGTGAGGCCGTGGTATCACTCCGGTCGAGCCTGCCCAGAGCTCTCCCACGGTTTTGTTTCAAAAAGATAATAATTATACATAATTGAGGAGATGGACATAAACAGTGGGACAGATATTCATAAATACATACTGAAATACACATACAAATATAATTGCTGAGTTACATAAAAAAAAACATATAAAACCACACAGACAAACATTCTTAAATAGTTATTTCGTTGTCTGTCACCAAACTGCCCTCCCCTGAGAGGAGCGATTGAAAGGCTTTCAATGCCTAGTGCATTGAAAACCTTTCAATTCACTCTTGAGTTGTAAGTATCCGTGGGCGGCGGTAGTCGCTTACTATCAGGTGCCCCATCTGTTCGTCCGTCTTTACACCATCAAATAAAAAAAAACAGTGGCACTCCGGGAGTGCCGACAGAAGTGAAAACTTTCTTATATACAGAGGTGTCGGTAACGGTAACAGTGTCGAGAGTTCAATGGTTTTTTCTCATTTCAAAACCTACGAGCTTACATTGAAGTTGTGGAATGTAACAGACTAAAATTATTTGGTGTTCTATCACTATTCTATTGTAATGGGACTTGAACATACCCTAGGCGAGCAAAATACGCAGGACATCACTGTAAAGAGAAGGAAAACTTGACACAAACCCTATATCAACCCGTCTGGTCAGTGTGGTATAGTAGGCCAAAACCTCCTTTCTAATGAGGATTATCTCCAGCAGTGGACTGTTAAAGGCTGTTGATGATGATGATACCATTAGAAAAAAAACTCTCGCTGACAGGGGTTTTAACCTCTTATAAATAAGGTCATTTCTATATTAATAATTTGTACAGTAATAAATATTCTTTATCTTTTTTTTCTATAAAGCTATCTGAAGATTTACCAGTGTAAGTATACATAGTTATGATATTTATATAAAAACTAGTTTTGCCTGTGGCTCCGCCCGCGTGTATTTCGCTTATCGCGTTAAGAAATAGCCTATGTCCTCAAGAATCTAAGTATCTCCATGCTAAATTTCATTAAAATCGGTTAGCGGTTACTGATTCAAATTTTCACCCCCCTTTTTACAACCCCTTAAAGGGTGATTTCTGGGATAGAAACTATCCTATGTCAATTCTCTGTACCAAATTTTATTTAACACACAGACACACTCGCATTTAAAATATTTGTATGGATTTGGATACACAAAGAAAATTCCTTGTACCCACTATATACCTACAGAAGACTTAATGTTTATATGTACAAGAATTCTACAAAGTTAAAACTTTTAAACAAAATGTGCTCAAACTCAAAATATCTTTTTTCCATTATTTTTTTATTGTTTGTAAGCGTCTTATAATCTAAGTCATAGATCAACACACACAATAGCAACATTCTGTTTTGTTAATTGCTTTGAAAAAATAAGTATTATTTATTATAATTATATTATTTATTTATAAAATAATATAATTAATTAATCCATTATATGCCTGTACCGATCTACAACCAGCCGTTTTCAAGAGGTTGAGCCTTATGAGAGGAAAGGGCAAACAAAATCACGGCCAATCTTTTTCAATTCGACTGCCTTGGTGACGCAGTGGGCTATAGCGTATGCGACTGTTGTGCTGACGTCTCGGGTTCGATTCCCTGGTCGGTTCGTATGATCTAGAAATATTTGTTTCGGGGTTTGGGTGTTTTCTATGTATAATATGTATGTATTTACAAAAAAAAAGTATATAAGTACTCTATCAGTCAATCTAACTTGCATAGTACAAGCTCTGCTTAGTTTGAAACTAGATGGCGTTGTGTTGTGTCCAAACATTATTATTATTATTAATTACAGCTAGATACAGTCACAACATTAAATATATCACTACATTGTTTTGATGTGTGCGATAGTCTGTCAATTGTTAAGAACTAATAGGTAAAAAATAAAAGCCGTGTGGTGTCGTGGGACACCCGATAGGAACGAAGTTGTAACGATCGAGTAAAACTGATTCGGCACATTTTAATTACAAGGCCATCTATGAAAGCGGCTATTACCTACATATTTTTCAGTTGGTTTCTAATTAAAACAATTTATACATTGGTAAAATCTCCTTGAGAAATGATTTCCTATCTATTCGATAGATGGCGCTGAATGACTGACATAAAAAGATAGAAATGAAAATATCTGGCTTGCTTTCTATAAGAGAGAGAGAGACAGACAGAGAAACATGCGACGCCGCACAGCTTACTATAGCAAAAAGTGTCGTGACCAATTTTCGTAAGATTTTTTTCCGTCTAGCCCCCTTTCACAACGCGCGATAAGGAACTTCGTTCCAAAAAGAAAACAACATAAAGAAAAAATAAAACATAAAAATGAGAAAAATAATTATTTAGAAACGACTAAATCTTCTAATATGTAAAAATATCTCGTGTTCGACCGATTTTAATGTTTTTTTTTATATTTGGTAGGTAATGAGGATAGGTCATAAAGTATTTTTCAGACTCTTAATCCCACCAAATTTTTAACCGCGATTCTTACTTAACGTTCCATTTATTTTCTTTTTTTTTATACTCGTACAAGGTCTACTAGCAATCGAAATTACTAGTATTCCCGTTAACCCTCCCGCTAAGCTAAATTACTTGTGTTAGGAGTGGGTTCACGTCGGTAGTGTACTGGTCAGGATTTGAACCCACGACCTCTTGCAAGTCCAACGCCTTAACCACTAGGCTACCGCCGCTTCAATTTAAGTTGCAGCGCAACAGGTAGTAATATTTTTTATATATTTTTATTTTTATATATATTTTTTTCGCTGCTTTCCAAAATCCGTAAGATACATCATATATAATACAATGGTAAAACCTCATCTCGAATATTTAATAGAAGTTTGGGGAACAGCTGCTAAAAGTAACCTAAAAACATTGCAAATAGCCCAAAACAAAATGATTAAAATGCTCTTCCACTACAACTATCTAACTCCTACAAAAAAAATATACAAAGAAACACAATTGATGACTTTAGCTCAGATATATAAATACAATACATGTCTACTAGTACGAAAAATCTTAGACAAAAATATACATACTAAGCTAACATTTACAAAAAAAGGAAACACTCAAAAAAGAATAACAAGACGAAAAAATAATTTATGTTTAAGACACCCACGAACCAACTACGGAAAGAAAAATATTTTATATGAAGGAGCCCAACTATATAATAAATTACCAAATAACATGAAAGAAATACAATCAATCAACTTATTTAAAAAAACCCTTAAGTTCCACATCTTTAAAGAGTTCTCTAGTTTTTAGCATCGCGATTGTAATTATGATTGCATAATTACCCGCTTGCTATCAGACACCGATACGTAATGCGACCCGACACCTTTATATCTTCTTCTTAATGTACCCACATTTTAATTTTGGTTATGTGATTTTGTACAATGCTTGGTGACACCGTCAAATGCGCTCGTAGATTATAAGTTTACTTTTAAGTTCATAATTTGTAAATCTCAATAAAAGTGAATTGTATTCTTTTGAGTAATAAATATCTTAAACCAGAAACCAGAATATTTTGACCTAACATGTTACAGCAGTCTATTATATAGTGACATTTAAACCGTCAGATAATCTCTAGTATTACTAAATACATAAACAAGATATATATCTGTTCTAGGGATGCTGCGTGGGAGCTGGAGCAGAACGCCTTTGCGGAAATTTATGAGAGACCCATCAGCTGTTCAGCGCCAGACTGTGTGTGTCCTCAAGGCCGAAGTCACGACGCCGAGAACGGGTGATTTTTTATTTATTTTTAAAAATACTACTCCCACACTAGGAATATATCCTGTGTCGCGGGGGACTTTACAGACATACATGAAACGGACACAAAGAACACCCAGACACAGAACAACAATTTGTGGATCACAAAAAGTGTTGTCCCATGTGGGGATCGAACCGACAACACTCAGTGCAGTAGGAAGCGGCGAGGTGACCGCTTAAACCACTACGCCGATAGTTTGATTAGCTAAAGTAGTGACCAGTAATTAAAAACCAGACATTATCTTAAAATTTAAACTTACTTGCCTTGACTGACTGATATATCAAGACAGAGCCTAAACCGCTTGAGCTATGAACTTAAAATTTTGACAGTTGATGCTTTTTATGTTGTAAGCACACATTTTAATCCTTTTAAAATGTGTGCTTAATTAAGTTTAATAAAAGTTTTAAATTAATTAAGTTTAGTAAAACTAATTAATTAGTTAATTAATTAACTTAACTTAAAATTAACTTATTTACTTAAGTTGTTTGGAAATTTCGCCCCTAAGGAGGTAAATAAGTATGAAGTCGTTGGTATGTTCTTGTTAGACGGTCAGCTTTTAAAGCATGGTAAATTCAGATGCAGTGTTGTTCCGCAGTCCATGGAGCATCAGCGTGTGTATGCTGTGCGGGAGCAGCGGCCAGCACGGCGGCTGCGTGACGGACCCCTCGAACCTGCACGTGCATATCTGCGCGGTGTGCAAGCCGGCCGCGCCTGAAGACCTGGAGAACCTGGCTAATAGCATAGAAGCTGGTGAGTTACACGATAGAGTGTTTAAGATTGAGTGAGAGACGTGTACTAACTAGGTGTGAATGCTTGCAATTTTTAACAGACTTTAAAAAAGGATGTTTATATATTCTTCTTTTTTTTTTACGTCCGTGTGATGACGGATTAAGAATACAGTGTCACCACCCCTATTCATCCCGTGGGAGACGTAAGAGCCGACTAAGGGAGAAAACTATGCAGAGCAACAGCACTGCAGAGAGAAGGAAAATTTGACACAAACCCTATACCAACCCGTCTGGCCAGCGTGGTATAGTAGGACAAAACCTCCTTTCTAAGGAGAGGCCTATGTCCAGCAGTGGACTATTGAAGGCTGTTGATGTGATGTGATATATTTTTTATGTATGTTCGGGCTTCATCATCATCATCAGCCTATCGCAGTCCACTGCTGGACATAGGCCTCTCCCATTGCACGTCACTTAGATCGATTTTGGGCTTAACTCCGTCATATATGGACGGATTTACAAAATTATTTTATTTGTTCGAAAGGGTTTATTTAGAAATTGTTCCATTTAAATTTCATGTAGATCTGATGAGTTTCGGAGATAGACAACGAAACTCTTAAAAAAAATTACATCAAATCGATCGCGCTGGGTTTTAGTGCGCTATGTTAGTATTGTTTGAAGTCGGTTCAACTTTTTATAAAAAGTACATTTTTTTATTAAAAAATTCTACTAGCAACCGAAATTACTAGTATTTCCCCTATTAGGGTATAAACCCTCCCGCTAAGCTAAATTGCTTGTGTTAGTAGTGGGTTCACGTCGGTGGTGTACTGTACAGGATTCGAACCCACGACCTCCTGTTCGCAAGTCCAATGCCTTAACTACTAGGCTACCGCTACATTGAAGTCGCTTTCTTCTTTATAAATATTGGATAAAGGGTTTTTAGCCATGCTTCGGCACCTGACTCAGTGATACCATGGCCCCACAAAAAATCTTTAGTTAATTTTCACCGAGTGACTGAGGTTACGTGTGAATTTTAATGGCATTTGTCTTTGTTTATGACGAAATCACAATCACATGTGAAATCACTGTGACTAAAACCAACAATTTCATCAAAAGGATATGATTTAAAATTAGCAATAATTTCCACGTCAAGAGTGCAGTATAGGGTCGGGGTTGGCCCTTTGAGGAAAGGACCATAAAAGAAAAGGGACGGCAATACACTTATAATTCTTGCAGGTGTCAATGGTTACTTATTATCAGGTGAATTCTGATACCGTACATCTTTAACGAAAGATTTTTCTTCAATTAATTATGGTTAAGAAACAAACCACCACAGTAATATTAAAAAATGGTTGCTAAAGCAATTTTTATATTTATTTCCAGTAATATCACAAGAACAGGTTCAAACCTCGTCCCGGAGACGTCCCGGACGAGTCATGCCCAGTCGGATGTCGTTGCGGAGGACCAAACGGAATGTGTCCGGTCCTGTGTAAGTTATTTTATAGTCTGTGATCTTCCTGCCCTGTTGCCCTACCTTTTTTGTGGTCATTGCATCATTGGGGATAGCGGGGGGAGGGGATATCTGGCAGATGTCGGTATTAATTTCAATTCTTCTTTTTTTTCAGCGCCTCCAGTTCCACTCTGGCAGTAAAATCTGGAATAGATTCGCAAAGTAAGTATGGTCTTTATCTATACAAATAAAAGTGTCTGTTTTTAATGTCAAAATAATAGGATTTTTTCATGCTAACGGTTATTTGCACGATACCTATGCCTAAAATCCAGTTTATTTTTTTTGTCTTCCTATTCCGGGTAACTTTCTAAACGGCTGGACCGATTTTGATAATATTTTACTACCAGGTAGCTGTCTATATAAGGAGTAACTTAGACTATTAAATTTTGCCTGGTCTGGGAATCTTTAAAAAAAAAGTTGAGTTGCGGGTACCAGCTAGTTTTAAATATATTTACACGCCTCTTTATCCCGAAGGGCTAGGTAAAAATGTATTACAACCACATTTTTCTTGGTTCTGGGGCAGCTATGTCAGAGGTCGTGGGTTTGATTCCTATTCATCATCATCAATAAACTTTAGTAGTCCACTGCTGGACATAGGACTCTCCTTAGAAAGGAGATTTTGGCCTACTATATCACGCTCGCCAAACGGGTTCGAATAGGGTCTGTTTCAAGTTTTCCTTTGCTTAGCAGTGTTATTGTCCTGCGTAGTTTTGCTCCTTTAGTCGGCTCTTACGAAACTCAAACTCAAACTAAACTTTCTTTATTTCATAAAATTTTCAAAATTGTTTGAAATCGTCTTCCATGTAGACTCTAAAGTCATAGATCAACACACACAAAAGCAACAATCTCTGTTTTGTCAAATAGTAACCAAATAAATTTAACAAAAATCAAACCCATACAAAATCTATGATATGCCCGTGCCGATCTACAACCGCCCGTTTCCAAGTGGTTGAGCCTTATGAGAAGAAAGGGCAAACAAACTCATGGCCACTCTTTTGCAATTTACAGATAGATACAATGGCATCATTCAATATACTACAACATTGTTTTGATGTGTGCTAGTATGTCCGTTATTAAGGACTTAAAGGTGAAAAAACAACGAAGAGAAAACAAGATTAAGAAGAACAAACGAATACAAGAGAAAATGAAGTGAAACATAAAAAATAGAAAAAATAATAAAACATACTAAAAAAAAAGATACTAGCCACACCACATTTTTACTTAAGAAAGAAATAGCCTGCGCTAATTAATCCCAAGCATTCTTGTCCTCCATGTAATCCACAATCGAGTAGTAGGCCCTCTGGCACAAGCCACGTTTTATTGCGGATTTAAATTTGTTAATACTCAACTCCTGAATATTATTTGGGATTTTATTATAAAATCGGACACATTGACAAAAGACTTGTTTATCTTTTGGAGCCTAGAGGCGGGTACAACAAATTTATTTTTATATTTTCCCGACACCCGCGGGATATATAGGGGTGGTGACACTCCGTATTCTCAATATATATACATATATTAAATGTAAGTAAGTAATAATATAATAGAAATAGAATAATATATATAATAATATTGTACCACATACACACAACGCCATCTTGTCCCAAACTAAGCAGAGCTTGTACTATGGGTACTAGACAACTGATATAAATACATATATATACTTTTTTTTGTAAATACATACTTATTATACATGAAACACCCAGACCAAATCAAACATTAAAAGTTCATGCACACAAATGTTTGACTGTAATCGAACCCGCGACCTTTGGAATAGCAGTCCGTTACACAAACCACTACGCCATTCGGTTGTCATTCATGTACTATACTGTGTAAATAATGTAAAGAATTTGAATATTTAAACGCCATTAATAAACTTATACTCGTATAAAATATGTGTTATTTCACTTCACAGTATCCAACACAACATCAAGCCGTGAAGAGCTCAATTTAAAACGACCAAGAAAACCCACCACAGAAACCACCATCAACAGTTCTATTAACCTTAAATTTTCACCAAACAAATTAGAAAAAACAGACCAAATGTCGCCATTGAAACTTATAAATAGCAAAAATGATTCTCCCTCGAAGTTTTTGGAGGAAGGTTTGAAGAACAAATTCGGTAATCAGGAAGTTGCGATCAAAGATGAACTGCTAGATGAATTGAGGAGGAAATTTAAGAAACCACAGCCGTTGAGTGCTAAGAGGAAAATTGTCAAGTAAGGTTACAAAGTGATTACCCTTATCCCAATTTGGGTCGTTGAAGTATGTATTCTTCCATTCCACTTTCTTATTCGTAATTTCACTGTTCACTCCCTTCCTAATCATATCCTCACTCACACAGTCCATCCACCTATTCTTTGGTCTTCCTCTTCTCTTGTACCCTTCAACTCCCATACCTAACACTTTCTTCGCCATAATTTTCTATATATACCTATCCATACCTATATACAATATAAATGTGAAAGTGATTGTTTATTTGTTATGCATTTACGAGTACTAAACCGATTTTAAAAATACCTTTACAAATTTAAAGCTAAATTATCAGCGAGTAACATAGGCTTTTACCGCTAGTATAGTATAGACTAGTAATAAATGAATTCTTAATCCAATTAGCCGTTAAAGTACATTTTTGAAATTTCCTAAACTGTATTTATTGAACTTTACAGTGAAATTCTGAACGGTCTCTTTGACAACGTACTTCAAGAGACGAAGCAGAAGGAGCCAGTTAAGCAATGGTGCTCGCCCAAGAAGTGTGTGGAGACGGACGACGATGTTATTGTGGTATGATACTCGTTATTTAACGTAACACCCCTAAACCTAAAACCTCCCTAACTCGATTAATTTTCATCGGAGGAAAAAGTCATAGGACCTTTTTGTGTGTAATTTTAAGTTTTACACATTGCCTTTTGAACTATTTTGTTTAACTTTTACCGTTTCCGAGTACCTAATTGCGAAAAAATATCTCCTTGGTCCTTTTGAATTTGAAATACTCAATAAAACCCGTAAGAAATTACAATTATTTATAAAATAGGCGTTCTGAAGTCATTAATACATTTTTAAAAGTCAATTATAATTTTAACAGGTACCAGAATCCCCTCCAGAAGTAATAGATCTCACCAAAAGCCAAGATATCATCACACCTAGACACGAAACAGCAGAACTACCCCCAATTGAGAACACAACCCCATTACACCGAGACGAAAACAGCCCAATATTCAACACACCCAAAAAACTCAAAACCATTGACACTTTAACAGATTCTAGTTTAGAAATATCAGCAAACAATGAAATAGTCAACATAGATGTATTTAAACTTGAAAATAAACAAAACGAACAGTTCACAAAACTGAAAATACCGTTAAAAAAGGAAAAATGCGGTTTTAAATGCAGTCCTTGTAATAAAGAAGAGTTGGATAACGAAAATATTGATATTGACTTGGAGAGTTTCAAGAACCAGTATTTAGATGAGGTCAGCGGTACTAAAGTCAACGAGAAACCGAATCCGGTTAGGAAAAGAAAACCGGATAGCAATGAAATTATTGTAAACTTAGAATCTAAGAAGCGTAAATTAAAACGCAGAAGTAGTATATCAATTAAAGATAAAAATATACAAGTGAAAATAAAATGGAGAAGGGAACAGTTAAAATTGCAATTCAACAATATCAAAACTAAGAAGAAATCTAAGAAATTTAGACAGTATGTACTACAATATTCTCCGGAGAAGGCAACTCACAGTCGTCATAAATTAGATGGGAACCGATCGGTTTTGACCAAACCGGAGGTGGATATCACACCGATCAAAAAGAAGAAAATCAAACAAGAAAAGACACCAGACAACTTAATCCAGACTTCAATTCAAAAATTTTTTAAAGTCACAAGTCCTGGTAAAGAGTGAAGACCTATTTATGTTAAAAAATCTTCAGTTTGTGTTAAAATTACATGCCTTTTTGCAGACCTGTTGGTTCATACTGCTGAGCCAGAGGTCGTGGGTTCGATTCCCACCCAAGGTAAATTATTGTGTGATGTGCACGAGTAGTTCGAGATCAGATATCCGTGTACGAGATTAGGTGAGAACTAGATGGCGTTGTGTGTCAAACACGATCATTTGTACTATGTCTGGGTGTACTTTATCTATAATATATATATATTTAAAAATATATACGTATGTTTATCAGCAGTCTGGTTACCATAGTACAGGCTCTGCCTAGTTTGGGATCAGACATCCGTGTGTGAGATGTGTGAAAATATTATTATTATTAAAATAAAAAACATCATCTTATTCCCCCTTCTGCAAATTTTAAGCTATTGCATAGCTTCTATCGAGGGCCTTGAGCGCGGGGACCGAATCCAGAAATTCCGTAACGAAAAAAAACCTCACGCTAAAAACAAAACAAAAAACAGTACCAAAATCAAATGCTGAACGTCAAAGGAAATTTCGTCAACATAATGCAGAAAAATCTTACATGGATATGTAATTTGATTTAATAATAATATTTTTTATTTATTTATTTTAAAACAAATTGTAATATATGCTTCAATATTTTTATTTAATAAAAGAAAAAAAATTGTTTTCTTATCGGTCACCACGCTCAAAAAGTGTAACTTGAATTATTATCAAAGAAAAAGAAATACTGCATAAATAAAATAAATAAATAATTATAATTGCATAAGTTGATACAAAATGCTATGCAATAGCTTTACCGTGGCAGTCCCCGAGTGCCACACGTCTTTTTTTGTTTTGGGTTGCTGCAAATGAACATAAGAATGGAGGCAAAACTGATTCTTCTGTATTATTCGTTTTTATTCAGTCGATCCAAATTCTTTTTTATCGTCGACTTTCACACATTCAAACAATGGACACAAACAACACCCAGACTCAGAACAAATATCTGTGGGGTCATATAATTTTTTTGTCCCGTGTAGGAATCGAACCCCCAACCTAAGCTATTGTGTTATTCGTGCAATCAATAATATTAACATGTTATGTAATAGTCATGGAGCTGTCTTCAAGGGATGTCCCTTTTAATACACTAATATTAGCAATAATAGACCTTTCTTAATGTAGGTTAAATATTATAGTTTTAGATGTGCTTTATTCAAATTACACATTATTTTTAGTTAAAATCTATTTTATTTCATATGTATAGTGATTATTTTATTTACGTAGTGTGGTACAGCGAGCCTCATATCTAAATGAAACATTCAAAATATTCAAAAAAGCATGAAGAATTTGTTGTTGGTTTTTAACAATATTTATTTTGTAAATTTAGTTAAAAAAATGTTTTAAAAATATATTTTTTTTTAATTATCACTAATATAAGACTGAAGAGTTTTTAATGTGTAACATGTTTCATCTTTCTCTTTGCTGTAATTGGTAGGAGTTATTTTGTGAAAGGGGACGGAAACGAGTAACAGGAAGTCTAAGTGCGCGCTAGTTAATTTAACGTAGCTGAGATGTCACGTATTACATAGCATATACGACTAGTGGGAGGCTCGCTAGTATTCTTTTATATTTGTACACTTTAAGGGCAGGTCACACCGACATCTGGTGAGCAAAGACTATGTAAGCTAAGCGAAGCTAAACTGTGGGTTCACACCGAAAACTACGGACGGACGAGTGAGCTAGGGGAGAGCGTTCCGTATCACGTTACTCGCGCGCAGTTACATAGGGGGCGTCTTTGTCTTTTGCCAGCTAGCGGCAAGCATCGTTATACTTCGGTTCACACCGCTACAAACTAACTAGAAAACTAAGCTACTCTAACGAATAGCATCGCTGGCATCGTCGAATATTTCGTTCGCATCGTTGACGCAGCTTATCTCTGTAGTTCGGGGTGAGCCGAAGTATGAAAAGATGGCTCGCCCAGCTCGCTCGCTTGCTGTCGGTGTAGCCTGCGCTTTATTCTCACAAACTGAAAGTCTGATATCAATATACATATATATATATTCAATAGTTATATAACACAAGAAGAGTAATAACAAGGTATAGCGTAGAAGCTGATTACAGCTATTTTTATTTAATTTTGATAAGTTTGAGAAACTGTTGTAGAAGTGTTTTTATAGGTGTACCGAGTTGTATTGTTGGATGTAGGTATTTGAAGATAAATAAAAATTGTGTACCTTTTAAAGCCTTTTTATTTACTACCTACTACTTGTAATCGAAGTTAATTCATATTTTATGGCAAGGAGGTAAGCGCACACCGTACTTTTAAAGTTATATTTATAAAACTTTATTCAATCTATCTATACTGTATACTGTTCACACATTTAACTAGTTTACATAATATAAAAAACTGTCATAGTCATCAACAGCCTTTACTAGTCCACTGCTGGACAAAGGCCTCGATCTAAGAAAGGAGTTTTTAGCCTACTATACCACGATGGCCAGACGGGTTACTATAGTTTACCTTCCCTTACCAGTGCTAAACTCTTGCGTAGTTGGCTCTCTTAAGGCGCTCTTGCAGCGCGGTGTGTAGGTGTGCAAACATTACCTCACCCCCCGCTAACGTATCGTACGCAAAGACAGCATGTCAAAAAGCTGCGCGCCACTCAAAGTTACGTCCAGATATTGTGCCACAGTGTAGCGTACTCGTAATGCAGTAGTTAGAAAAGAATATAATGTTTGACGTATATAATTCTAATTGGCTTTAGCACTTTTAAACTTTTGTTATTCACCTGTGTGTTAGCTTTCTCCTTAAATAGGTATACACGAAATTAAAAATATTGGAATTAAATGACCGTTTAAACAGGCGAACTAAGGTTTATTAGTTATAGGATATTAGGTCATTACTTCCTACATATATAATTTGTTTACTCAAAATCTCATAAACAATAGATGTTTTTGAAGAGAAAACTTCTTTAGCAGCGTGGTACACTTTTTTTGAAATGGGTAATAAATGTTAAACTCGCGTCAGGACACGTGACCTGATCGAAAATTCGTAAGACGGATGGAGAGTAGACAGTCGCCGCAGCGTAGGAGAGGAAGTATCCCCCTCTCTTTCTACGGCGCAGCCAAAATGTATGCCTGCGCGTGCTGCTTCGTTTAGGCGGCGCAGGGCGCTTGCGCGAATGTTCGTTTTTCTGAGAGATAAACTTTTTAATGTAATATAAATTGTCATGTTTGTGTACGACAGCGCAATAAATAAATATTGTATTCTACCACATTAATGATAGTACTTTTATACTGATAATTAAAGCAATTCATGCAAAATTATTTCCTAACCATTCCAAAATGTCAAAAATGCACAACGTTAATATTAAAGTTTTCACTTCTGCCGGCACTCCCGGAGTGCAACCCGTCGTTTTTTTTAATACCTTATTCTACAAATTGCTCTTACTTCATGAGTTTATCAGCAGATTGGGTACCATAATACAGGCTTTAATTAATAATACACACAACATAAGTTGAATAATTCACATAACTTTAATAAAAGATGATGATTGAGGCGGAGGTTTTATTCTAAACTTTCTTAAGTTTTATATCAATCATGTCAAAGCGCAATAGGCAAGCGAGCTTTCCTATTCTAGTCTAAGAGCCCGTGAACCCCAGACCTTCGTTATTTTATAAAAGCTGAAAGTTTGTCAGCGCATGCTCCCAACACAGGTAAGAACGATGGACCATTATGAAGTTTGGGTTATCGTGGCTTCGGCAGGTAAACGGTACTAAAGGTGTGTAAAATACTGATCTAAATTCATCAAATAATAAAGTGTGATTTTTTGGTATTACCTTCAGAATATTATTAAAAATCACGTTATTGCATGCCAGACACTTAACAACGTGGCAACCCTTTGCCAGACACCCTTAATGTTCATAAAATTATAATTCTACTTATGTTATAGTATAAAAGCTGATTTTTGTATATAATACTTAGGTAGTAATTAGATGATGTTTCCTCATTAGCCAGACATTTTTGATAGTTCCAACCCCTTGCCAGACAAGCATGTAAATCTTAAGAAGACATGCAAATAAACTTTTTGGCACAGATTTATATAACTAAAAATCTGTGTAAATTTTAAAAACATCTTAAGAAAAGACATTCGATGCTACAATCTTAAATTATCTAATTATCTTAACATATCTTAAATTGTTAAAAATTTAAATTTATTCTGTCAATGACAGGTTATAAAAATAAAAAAACAAATAAAATAACACTCAAAAATTTAATTAAAAATAGATTAATGACATTACAAGTTATTATAAAGTATCATTTTCTTCGTCACTGTTACTCCATTCGATATCATCGTCTTCTTCTTCGTCAGGTTCTGTAAAAATATGAAAAAGTTATTGGGATTGAAAATATTAAAAAATAATGTATAATGGTTTGAAGTAGTATTTATACCTGAGACAGTTTTCAGTGATTCTCTGACGAAATTTGGCAACTGATCACCTTCGAACCATTTAAAATGGTACTGATTATCTTCGAGAACCCAACCATTATTCTCGGGTTGACAAATTGTTGGAATTTGCTGATTTGCATTATTCCAAATGCTAGACACATAGTTGGCTCGCAGAAATTGTTGTAGCAGCTTGGATTTACATGGTGGCAGACTGCTAGCATCAAAATTTCGTAGTTTTTTACGGCTAAACGCTTCATTAATATCTGAGACCTGATATGTCTTAATGAATAGTTGAAGCCGTGCTGCATCAACATCAGTTATCGAACCGACATTGTATACCTCACATATAAACCGTTGAATAATATCAAAAGTGCTTTGTTGTTCATTATTATTTTCAACAATTTAAGATATGTTAAGATAATTAGATAATTTAAGATTGTAGCATCGAATGTCTTTTCTTAAGATGTTTTTAAAATTTACACAGATTTTTAGTTATATAAATCTGTGCCAAAAAGTTTATTTGCATGTCTTCTTAAGATTTACATGCTTGTCTGGCAAGGG